AGCTGGTTTTGCTGCATACAAAATCACTACAATATTGCTTGTTTGGTGTATTTTTTTAATCATTTGAAAGTCACTTGAGGCTACCAAACATAATTGTTTGATCCTATTTTAATTTACTTGCTGAAACTGAATATAATAATTAAGTGTTGAAACTAAGGAAAATATTATATGGCAAAATTAATAGTTATGGGGCTTCCCCAGTGACGCAGTGGTTGAGAGTCCGCCTGCCGATGCAGGGGACGCGGGTTCGTGCCTGGTCCGGGAGGATCCCACATGCCGCGGAGCGGCTGGGCCCATGAGCCATGGCCGCTGAGCCTGCGCGTCCGGAGCCTATGCTCCACAACGCGAGAGGCCACAACAGTGAGAGGGCTGCGTACCGCAAAAAAAAAAAAAAAAAAAATTAATAGTTATAACTCAGCACTGAATATCTAACTAGAAAGCGTTCTCAGGGTAGCCGTGTGTAGGTTAAAATATGCTCTAAGTTGGATGGCAGTAGACCATTGGGAAATCTGTGCCAGTCTGTGCTTAAAATACGCCAGCAGTTATCGGGGTATTGTAAGAATGAAGAGTCAGTGACCTCCTCCCCGCGGACTGCCTCACTCTTTTTCCTCTCTGTGCTGATTACTGGGCACAGTCGATTCCTGTTAAGAGCATAAATGTCACTCTGGACTCAAATCCAACATTACAGCTCACAGCTGAAGTGTTTCCAGACCCAGTTATAAACCTCTTTGCTCTCATTCACACTTGTGAAAAGTCCTGCTCTGAGATGCAAAGGTCCCTGCAGTCTCACAAGGATATTCTCATACTGTTGATTCTGCATTAGAAAATGAGAAACTATTGATATTTTCAGGGTGTGCTGTGAGGCTAGAACAAAAGCTCAATGGCAGATTCTTACTTGATACAAATATCCCAAGCAGTTCATAATTTGTCATTTAAAAGGAAAAGAAAAAAGATGGTGAATTTTTGGATTCACCAAGGTTGATTCCTTCCTTGGTGAATCCAAAAATCCCTCTTGAAAAAAAAAATGCTTTGAAAGTGTTCAGTTACTTTTCCTATTAAGTACAATATTTCAGAACAATATTCAGTCCACCTCCAGATAGAAAATTATGATCCCTGTTCTGTATGATGCTTAAAAACAATATAAATCCAAGTGCTAAATAAAGGACTGGCTTTAAATTGAAGATTCAAAAGTTGCATTTTATTTTAGGTTTCAGAAATGTAACATCTCTATATAACTAAATACTGTTTCTCTTAGAATAATAAAAGGATGGTCATCTTAATTCAGGAAATTGTGAAGAAAATGCAATGGAATATCACTCTATTCTTTCAGCTTTCAGTGGGAGAACAAGATGCTGCAAAGGTTAAGTTAATTTGGGGCATTACCCCTGAGTATGTAGCTGATTAGGTATGCAGAGGTCCTCATTACAAATTAGTCTCTCCTGTGAAGCTGGCACTGAAGGGAGGGGCTTTGAGGACTCCGGGAAACCTCAGAAATTCCACAGAGTGGGGCACAGTAAAAAGCAATTAGAAACAAAAGGGAACCACAAAAGAAAGTTTGCCCTGAGCATTTTACTGAGGAAATGGGCCTGAAGAAGAGAATTCTGTTTATACAAATAAATAAAGCTTCAATGTTTAACATACACATATGGGTGTATTCACCATCCAGAAACACAGCGAAGCATGAAGATAGGTCATAGAAACCAAGCTGCCTGAGAGCAGATGCTTTGTAACCTGAGCAGTGGTGTCCAGACTAGGTGCCTTTGTCCCTGGGCAGGAGAAGAAGGTGATTACAACACTGAAGAGAAGCTGGGGAGGGTGGGACTTCAGCTGCCTGGGACCAGGCTGAAGCCCCGAGCTCACATTTTGATATCTGAAAAGCCTTCCTAAAATGAAGCACTTATTGGATTTCTTGCCTCCCTGGTTAGCCAGTGAAGACTCAGTATATTTACCTTCTTTCTGTGTGCTTTCATCTTTCATTAAAATTATGTGTGAATAGACCTCTCTAAAGCTCTGTAAAGTACACCATCAGAAAATCCTCTAGATTCTAGAGTCCAGAAAGAGGTTGGATCCGTATCTCTTATAGAAATATAATCGCCTTAACAGAGGTGCATTACCCTGAAGACCTCCCACAGCCCCTTTGAAGTCTGCGGCTGGCCAGATCCATCATCTTTTTATCTTGACTCAGTGGAAGAAGAAGTACAGTTTGGGCTGCAGGTTGGAACCTGTGGCCACCCGCAATACAGCCTGCATCGATGGGACCCCAGTGCGGCCTCCAGTTAGGAAAGCAGGGCTTCTTGCCACCCACGGAAGAGAAAGAAATGACCATCCTTTATCTTTTCTTCTTTGTTTAGCTTGGCTGGACATACGATGTGAAATCTTAGTATCAGGACAGAAATCCCCGCTGATGCCCTCATTTCAGCCTAAGAGCCTGTGTCCTGACCTGCCTGTCTTTCTAGCTCTCTGGTCCCCCTCTTGGCATTCATTGCACCGTGTTCTTTTCTGTGTCTGCTGTCACCGTTGTCCTGAAGCTGCTCTTGATAAAATCAGCAACAAATTTTTCTACTTGCCCAAACCAGGGGTTTCACCCAGGAAACACAGTAAAAGTAGCGGCCACTCCTATGTGTGCCAGCCGCTGTGCCAGGCACAGATTTTTAGGCCTTTTTAGTCCTCCTGGCATCAGGCACTGCTCCCACCTTCTAAGGAGTCTTCTTCTGGACTTGTGATACTGCTGTCAGGTTTCAGATTCCTTCATTGACTCTTCTTACCCATTTCTTAAGTATTAACCATCCCCTGAGGGATGATTCTTAGACCTCCTCTAGTTCACTCTTTGAGCCACTTTATCTGCTTCCATATCCTCAGCCACCCCCTCAATGTGGTTGGATTTCCAGATCTGAAAATGCTTATTTCCAGTTTTCTAGTGGACATCCCCACAGGATTATCACATTCGAGAGGGTTTCATGCGAACGCACATCCCCCTCCAGGGTTCCTATCTCGGCTGATGGCCTCTTTGTCCGCGGTCCTCCCGCTCACCCATCTTCTGTCCGGATCAGTCAGCAGGTCCTCGTGATTCTTCTTTATCAGAATGGTGGCCCCCCCTTCCATTCTCCAGAGCATCTACTTCAACTCAGGTGCTTAGGTTCTCTCAATTGAATTTACACCACAGCTTCCTGCCTCCCTGCATTCAGCCTCTAGCTATTCCAGTCCATCCAACCACCAGAACTATCTTTTTGCAACAGAGATCTGATCCTACTTAAAAGCTTCCAGTGGATCCCAGCTTGGTGGAGTAAGTCACAGTCTTCCAAACCTATTGTACCAGCCTCATCTCCCACCAATTACCCAAAACCACTATATTATTTCTCATTTCCAGATGTTTATGTGTGTGTTGATTCTGCGGCTAAAACAGCCTCTGTGTCCTCTTCTGCCACATGGAAAATTCCTATCCAACCTTTAAGAGCCAGGTCGGTCACCCCTAGCGGGCAGCCGGTGTTAGTTGAATGAATGGATGAGGACTTGCCCACCTCCTCGTGCAGAGTGAGGCTCTCCCTGCTCAGCACTCTGGAAGCATTCTGTTCACATCTCTGTCCCATTTGTCACCATTTGCATTATAGCTGCTCTCCGTATCAGACCAAGCCAGGAACGGTGACGTGTGCTTCATGTGCCCCTTCCTCTCCCTCTCCCATGGCAGACGTTCCCAACCCTCTTTACGACAGAGCCCAGACACAGGCTCAGAATCCTTCTCAACACGGCACTAGACAACCACTCTCAGCAGACCGGAGTCTGCACACAGTCTGAGGTCTGTGTGACATCCCCCAAAGAAGACTCTGCATTTTTCCAGCACATGGGCCGCCTACCCAGTATAACCACTCAATTGCTCAATGAATGAGAAATGGGTTTTTCTCTTTTCTTTAGGGGGTTTTACTTGATACTACATGAAGTGTTGGTATTTTAACCTTGGGTTAGGTGTATATTATTTCATGTTACAGATAGATCTGTCCACGAGAATGTATTCACAGCAAGAGATGAGCGAGGTGATTTGTTAAAACCCATTGTTACTCTTTGCAAAGAATTCTTCACACACACACACACACACACACACACACACACTCACACTCCACCAAACCACTGCCTGTTCCTTCCCCGTCTCTACAGATTCAGCCCACGGCCTTGCCTTACAGTCTGCACACTGCATGTTATTTCCTCTAGCCTTGCCTTCACTTAATCTTGCACATTGTTAAGAGTTGGTTGGATAAAGCATTAAAAAAGATAAAAGTAGCCTTACATTCCAATTTCATAATATCTCTTTTCGGCAATCACAAAAGAAAACTGTTGAGTCTGGGTAATTTTAAAACTAGTTAAAAAGCACTTCGAGGGAGCTGCTTTTTTCTATACTGTATGAAACAGTTAATATTAAATAGTAATACTCTCATTAATCCATTCTCTTTGTCTTTGACGCGGATATAGTAGCTATCAAAAAGATGTGTCAAAAACAACCAGGAAAATGTGAAGCACCTTTTCCATGGCTCAAGTGAAAGATGAAATATAATTATCATTATTGAGTTCAATGAGTTTCATTCACACTATCCAACCTTCTTTCATTCTGGTCACATTTTCAGAGTTTAAAAATGGAAAATGGTTAATAATAAATGAAGAAATCAAGAAAGTTCATATTTTTCTCGGTTTCCTTAATATACATAAGACAGCTGGTTGTGGAACACTCAAAGCAGAAGACTGTTGCATGTCAGTCATCAGATGACTGGGCAATGCAATAAACAGAACGATGAGAAAACAGTAGAAGCAGAGGAGAGACAGGGTCTGGAAAAGCCTGCAGTGATCTCTAAAATAACAGTTTCCCTGCATCAACATATATCTGTAGAGCCTATTCTCTTTACCGTTTAATGAGTCTGTGCTGTCTGTGAATTACTGAAATGGTTTCCTCTCACCTTTTTATGTATTTTCTCTCCTATTATGTTCTCACCTGTCTTGTCTGGAAAATCCATCAGGCTAACTGTCAGGTAGGTTCTTCTTGATGTTTAATGTGATTATTAGGAGTATCCACAGCAGGAAATGAAGTAAACAGACTGTGAGTGACCTGTGATGAATGATGAAACTAACCAGAAAAGGCAGTTGCTAAATTACAGAGAAACTTTTTGCAGATGCATAAAACTGTAGAAGCTGCAAACTGTAAGCACATTCAGCCATTGTGAACATCTATCGTAAGAACTTAGCCTAAGGGATTACAGCAGCTCTGAATGATAAAGTAGGTTGCCTGCACTGTCCGGTTTTGCTGTGGCTGAAAATACAGCCTGCCCCCAGAGGGCTCAGTTGTCATGGAGTGGTATTATATCCTATGTGGCCATGAGCAGTTCTGCTGTAAACTATCAGCTTTTATAGATTTGGCCAGGTCCAAGAAAAATTCACAACGATGTTTTTTGTTTTTTGTTTTTTTGTGGTACGCGGGCCTCTCAGTGTTGTGGCCTCTCCCACTGTGGAGCACAGGCTCCGGACGCGCAGGCTCAGCGGCCATGGCTCACGGGCCCAGCCGCTCCGCGGCATGTGGGATCTTCCCGGACACACAAACCCGTGCCCCCTGCATCGGCAGGCGGACTCTCAACCACTGCGCCACCAGGGCAGCCCCACGATGTTTTTTTTTTAAAGATCTTTTTGATGTGCACCATTTTTAAAGTCTTTATTGAATTTGCTACAATATTGCTTCTGTTTTTATGTTTTGGTTTTTGGGCCACGAGGCATGTGGGATCTTAGCTCCCCGACCAGGGGTCAAACCCACACCCCGTGCATTGGAAGGCAAAGTCTTAACCACTGGACCACCAGGGAAGTCCCCACAATGATGTGTTTTAGATCCCTGTTTTAAGTACGTATTCAGGCATGCCTTGTGCCTTGAAGAAAGAGACTAGGAAGAAATGGGGAGAGGTGGCATGTATTTTGTTAATGCTAAACTCATCCTTAGAGTTCAATCTGACGTGGCTTAACTCTAGTCAAAAGAATAGTTGTTTGAAATTGCATAGGGGACAGAGCTGTTCATTTCTCCCCTTGGGGTCAGGGAAAGGGCGTATTCCTTCACCCACATGGAGCAGCGGAACAAGCTCTTTTTAGATCCTCAAGTGCAAAGCAGATACTTTATAAACCCAAACCGTAGCTAAGCCCAGGAGGAGAGACATACATTTAAATTAGAGTGTGTTTGGTGTGTGTTTGATGTGTGTGTGTGTGTGTGTGTATTGTTTTTAGCTTGAGCTCATTTTTATCTTTCAAGAGAAAGAATTATGTGCTGCAGTTGCCATGGAAGACAGACTGCTCTAATAGCTTTCTAATTTTAATTTCAGAAGTCTACAGAGCAAATGAAGAAGGTCCCTACTATTATTCTTTCAGTCTCTTATAAAGGAGTCAAATTTATTGATGCAACAAATAAGGTGGGTACCACACCTCTCTTTGGTTTAGACGCCAGATACAGTCCTGAGTAAATGATCTAAAATCCGTTGCTTCCCATCATACCCAACCTCCCCCATTTTAATCACTCCTCACCCCTGACTTTCATGATCCCTAAAACAACTGTACACACACTCACACACACACTCACACACACACACAGGGGGGCACATCGCATTTGGGGGCTTGATCTAGGATTCCTACACATACTTTGCTTTCACTTTTCCCTGGTACCTTCCTTAGTAGACTGTGGCCACTCAGTATCTGGCACGTCCCTTTGGATCCAGAGAATATTAAAACAGAAAAAAAATCATGTCTAGTGTGAAAATGTACCAGTGTCATCATTCCTCCACCAGAGGAAGTGTATGTTACCAGGTGAAGGGCTAGAACATTTGTCTTTTCATTGCTCCAGAGATAGGCCTGTCCTTTCTTTTGATGTATGTAATGAATACCTGACACAGGGAACCCATGCTCTGGCGTTTACATCATATAATTGCATTTCGTTCTCAACTATTGAGATGGAAGCGAGGGTTCCAACCGTATTGTTTTCTTAAGAGACACAATCAGAAAAGAAGCTGAGGCCGTGCTGTGACTCTGCGGTGACTTTGTGCTCACAGTGGGAACAGCTTGTGGGCCCTGAGGTCAAGTGTAGACATCTGGGTTGCATTTTACTTAGAAAGTGTCCTTTCTTGGCAAAGGTGACAGAGTGCAGGTGCTAGACTAGAAAACTCGGGTATGACCACTGTCACCCTCCATAAATTCAAACCTGACCTGCTCCTCCTCCAGAACCCCCAAATGTCCTGCATTTTCGTCTTACGTCCTTCCAACCAAAAAAGTGTAGAAATAGGGGAAACGAGGTGATGCCCGTTGGTAAACACCATTTGTTTTCTGGACTGCCTACCTAGTCCTCCCAGCTGGACCCACTCCACTCTGGAGAAAGGAAACAAAAGTCATGAAACAGGTGAATTTAAACAATGGAAATTTAGGACCACGGCAGCTGGATTTAGATCCCGGGAAACGTCCCGTGGGCAGTGACCCTTGACCGTCTGTAATAAACCTGAGCTTCTGAATCGACCAGTTCAAAGCCTTCCCAGTTTGTTTTCTGTAATGAAGAAGATGGCCATGTCAGCAGTCCAATAAGGCCAAGCTCCCCAAGTCTACTTAGAGCCACCTCCCAGGTTTAGAAGCAGTTCTGAAACTCAAGCCGAAAGCTGGTAACTCAGTCTGGTCGTGCTAGTTGATGACACCCAAAGCACACTCAGAGTCAGATGCCTTCCGTGGAATGATGCTCCAACCCGGCAATATGTCATTGACAGTTACTGCCGTCAGATTACAGTTATGGAAACTCTGATCAGAAAAATCCCAGTTGATTTGCTTTTTTATTTCTTGGAAGCAACTTTAGGTGCTGGTGCACAAACTTCCTTTAGCCCTAGATTATAGTCAGTTGGCTTTAAAAGTTTCTAAACTTTATGGAACTCTGACTGAAGATAGCATTGCTTTCACTGTTATCTAAATTTCAAGAAAGGCTTTGGCATTTGGATTTTTTTTTTAACCTAACCTGGAGCAACTGTCTCTACCCCATTTGCACTTGAAAAACATGAATGGCAGTATGTTATTAGCTTATGAGTCTGACACTCTCTTAGATTAACAGCCTTAGCAGGCTTGGATTCTGACAGTTTCTGAGCAAGTGGTATTTGGCCTGAGAAGTTTCCAGAGTCTTAAGGCTGTCATCCTATGAAGCTGGTGGTATGACTGGGTGCGTCTGTATTAACTGCATCCTCTCTAACCCACTCTGCACCATCAGAGGAAGGAGAGAGCGCTATGGGCCCTGTGGCATTTTGCTTACAGACACATCAAGGGCCCTAGATCTTGATCTCCCAGACTTTGAGGGAATGCTTCTGCTTCAGTCGCCAGTACTTAGATGAGTTATTCATAGATCTCTGCTCACTAATGACTACTCTGGAAATCTAAGCAATGAAAGATACGCAAAAGATAATTGTGTGAATAAAGACACTAAATAAAGAAGGCCCGCATTTCTTTCAAGCCCTTGCAGTGTGGTCCTCAGCCTGTTTTCAGAATCCAGAGCAAAGGCAAAGTGCATATGTTGGTAGCAGGTGGAACCAGCCTCTCTGTGACTATATGACAACGTGTGCCTGGCTGTTTTAGGAATTTGGGGACATCGACTTCAACACTGGGGCTGCACAGGGTCCCCATCCCAGTGTCCTGTGACGTAGTGACCTACCCCAGTCTAATGGTGGATAGGGAGAGGGTGGGTGACTCGGGGCCGTGGTCTAGGAGTTAGTGTGTGAGAAGCCTAAAGCAGAGAGCTTGTATTAGAAGGTGGAAGAAAGAAACGGTGTAGAGCTGCGTTGGTGGAGTTTGGGGAAGGCTGAGAAACACCACCAGCCAGGGCTGAAGGCCTGGTTTCAGGGGGCGCAGAGGAGCCAGTGTTGAAGAGCCTTCCTCAGGTTGTGGTATGAAAGGAACTGTGCTCATCCAGCAGTGTCTGCAGTGGCATCGTGCGTGCCACTTGGTCCTGTACAAAGACCAGCCTCTAAATTAAGACCCACAGCAGGAAAGGAGCAGATTGATAAACTCCAGGTCCTGCTTTCGGTTTGTACCAGAGATTCCTCCCCTGGGAAGCATCTGGGGGGAACCACTTTGATTTGAAGTGAAGGACTTGTGACGCATAGACATCTGTGAAGACCTCACAGTTTGTGGTGCTTGTGAGCACTAAGCCTGTAGTAAGACACAACCAGAAGTCACAGCTTATTGTTCATGTTTGATGCTTTCTTTTTTTTCAGATGCTCATCATTTTTTTAAATTTATATTTATTTATTTATTGGCTGCGTTGGGTCTTCGTTGCTGCACACGGGCTTTCTCTAGCTGTGGCGAGTGGGGGCTACTCTTTGTCGCGGTGCACGGACTTCTCATTGCAGTGGCTTCTTTTGTTGCAGAGCACGGGTTCTAGGCACACAGGCTTCAGTAGTTGTGGCACACGGGCTCAGTAGTTGTGGCTCGCAAGCTCTAGAGCGCAGGCTCAGTAGTTGTGGCGCACGGGCTTAGTTGCTCCGCATTATGTGGGATCTTCCCGGACCAGGGCTCAAACCCATGTCCCTTGCATTGGCAGGCGGATTCTTAACCACCGCGCCACCAGGGAAGTCCCCTGTACTTTATTGTTAACCGGTCCTCTCCTAACCGCCGCATCTCTGTAACCCTACCCTGGTCAGATAGAGGGGGTGTTCATCCTGCACTGGACGTAATCGAAGGCCTCAGACCTTCACTAAGTGACTGCCCTGCAGTCACACAGCTAGCTGGTCATGGAGAAGGACTAAAACTTAACTTTCCCACTCCCTAACCTAACGCTTTTTCACTTTCACTTCATGCGACCTTCCACCAGTCCGTTTGACATGCAGTGGATGCTTAATTAGGTGTTAATGACTTTTCCCCTCCTTTTAGCCCCCATTAGACTGTGTGAAAGATGTACCCTCCAGCAAAGCACTTCTTTCCTTTTACTCTAATATAAAGTACCAGCTTTGGCTGAGTTCATGGGGAAGGGTTAGGTGCCTAGCTGTAAACTTGTAAACCTGTTACCTAGCAACCTGGGAAATGAATTGAATCACTAAACCTGGTAAGAAGGAAGAAGCGGAAAATGAACTTGAATTAAAAATGGAACTTGGATTAGATCTATACTAAAATGTTACAGGTAAATCACACCAGCTTTCTGTAGATCCGTAGCCCAGAGGTACGTCAGCATGGCATTCTGCCAAGAGGGCTGCAACTGCTTAGCTCCAGACCCATCTTCAGATCAGCAGGGTCTTCCAAGAAGCGACACCGTCCGCACATCCAGTGCCTGGCTGAGGGTGGGTTGCATTTTGCCTTCCTGCTGTGACCCCCTCCTCAGTCTTCTCATCCAGCTAGATTAGGAACAATGCAGTGCCTGGGTTGGTTTGTTAGTTTGTTTTTAATTTACTTATTTTATTTATTTTTGGCTGCGTTGGGTCTTCATTGTTGTGCGTGGGCTTTGTCTAGTTGTGGCGAACGGGGGCTACTCTTCATTGCGGTGCGCGGGCTTCTCATTGCGGTGGCTTCTCTTGTTGTGGAGCATGGGCTCTAGGCACTCGGGCTTCAGCAGTTGTGGCACATGGGCTCAGCAGTTGTGGCTCGTGGGCTCTAGAGCGCAGGCTCAGTAGTTGTGGTGCACGGGCTTAGTTGCTCCACAGCATGTGGGATCTTCCCGGACCAGGGCTCGACCCGTGTCCCCTGCATTGGCAGGTGGATTCTAAACCACTGCGCCACCAGGGAAGCCCAGTTTGTTTTGAATGTCAGCTTCAAACAGGGCTTATGCTATTTTTTTAGGCACAGATTAACTTGGAACTTTTGCCTAAACAAGTGCCAGTTGTTTTTTATAGCACATGTTTCTAAAAAGCTCAGAGTCAAGTTAAGAGTGTGTGCTGTCCTCATCTGCACCACCCTCTCTGCAGGTCTCCTCCAGGTAGCCCCCGACCAGGCTGCTGCCTCTATGTGGGGTGCTCTCTGGACGGGTGCTGCATTGTCTCCCTCATAAAAGGCCTGGCCTGTGGAGGAGACTCAGAGAAGGGCCCTACCTGTCGTAGTCAGGAGTGAGGGAAGCAGGGAGAGGCCAGTTTCTAGGCCCATCACTTCGTTATCACACCCCCTTCTGAGACCGTCTCTGTTAATTGGCTGAACCAAACAAGTCTCTTCTACACCCACCAGCCAGATACCTCTTTAGCTATTTCTCTACATGATGAAAGGCAACAGACAAGAAAAAGAACCACTCCCTGCTGAAGGGTACTGAGCTGCCACATTTTCTAGCCAAAGAAGTGACAGGGTGACCCCAGTCCTGGCTTGAGCCTTTTTAAAGCCCTCGTCTCCTTAGAAGGTGCTTACATGTGGAGGCTCAGCTGCATAAAGGCGTCCACTGTAAACTGAGGAACATCACCTGTACCTCATGATGATGTCAGCTTTTAATGTATGGAGGAGCCACTAATGACAGGGTGGAAAGAATGTATCCTTCCTTGACTTCTCCAAGGAGGAAACTGTGCAGTCTCCATCCTGTCTCCAGCTGTAGTATCCTTAGTCTTGGAATCGTCGTACACATGGAGAACTAGCCTCACTGCTCTGCAGAGGTGGGCAGTGCAGACTGATGGCAGTGTCTCAGTGTTGCCTAATGCACATTTGTGTGCCCCATGCACAGTGAGGCTAAGCAAACCGAAGGTCAGAGTTCGGAGCAGAGAAAGGTTTATTGCAGGGCCAAGCAAGGGGAACGGGTGGCACATGCCCCCCAAATCTCCAAGCTCCTCAAAGGGTTTCAGCAAAACATTTTTAAAGGCCAGGTAAGGGAGGGGCGTCCCAGGGTATGTGATCAGCTCATGCACAGTTTTCTGATTGGTTGATGGTGATCAATCCTTAGGCACTGGAAGGTCTGGGGGCTACGTGCTCATGATCATCAGTAGTTAATTTCTTCCTTTTTGTGGTGGTTTTGAGCCTCTGAAAAACTCAGGGAATATGCATGAGATACTATTATCTGGGTACTTCTGAGAGGAGGTGCAGCAGAGGACATGAGGGAGGGGTATGTCCTGAGAAGGCCGCTGCTCAGTTACATCAGTAGTGAGATCCCAGGTCCTCACCACATTCTAGCACCACGGATATATTAGGAAGTTCTGTTCAAAATACCTCCCTACACAGTCCATTGCTATGAATTCATTTAAAAGCAAATTTTTAAAGTGCCAATTAGGATGACTGAGTGCCAATAACGTGAGTTATTCTTAACTGATTGTAGAATGTCTGTATTAGCTTGCCTTTCCTCTAGTTTAGACCATGGGAACAGAGGAATTAAAGTTTCAGCAGTGGGAGAGGAGGCTGATTTGGGGACATGGAGCAACACAGAGGAGGGCAGGCCTCGGAGTTTAAAAGACAGCCCTGGGCTCCTGGAGATTAGAGAAGAGGGGGCCGGTTTCCAGAAAATTGGGAGGGAGGACCCAGAAAGAGGAGAAATGTCTTAGCACTATAGTAAATTACCATAGACTGGGTTGCTTAAACCATGAATATTTATTTCTCACAGTTTTGGAGGCTGGAAAGTCCAAGATGAAGTCACCAGCAGATTCAGTGTCTGATGAGAGCCCCCATTCCCTGCTTCATAAGTGGCCGTCTTTCTGCTGTGTTCTCACACGGCAGAGAGAGCCAGCTAGCTCTCTTGCCTTGTCTTGTAAAGGCACTAATAGCATTCACAAGAGCTCCACCCTCATGACCTAATCACATCCTAAAGGCCCACCTCCAAGCAGCATCACACTGGGGGGCTAGAATTTCAAGATACAAACTTGGGGAGGATGCAAACATGCGGTTCATAATTAAGAGAGATCTCCAAAGATACACTTTGCCTACTTAACAATTTTTCCCTGGGCCACAGTGCTGTCACACACCACTGAAAATTGTCAGGAGTGACATCTTGTGAATTGGCAAGATTCAGGGAATTCAGTGCAATGAAAATCACAGGGCACTTCACTGTTAACACTTTCCCGAGAAGCTGATCAACCTTATGCTAGTAAAAAAGAAAGTCTCAAGAACACAAAATGCCAATTTAGTTAAAATTTGGAGCCAATGCTCTATTTTCAGTAATAGTGGATCCTGGATAGGTGAGACCAAATCCACAGGCTTCCCGAAGTAATAGCAGCCCCCAATTAAAATGATGGCGGAGGCTCTCAGCACCTGCTAACATACCTATAAAGACCACGCAGAGCTCATTAATTTTAAATTTAAGACTCACCGAGCTCCTAATTTAGTTTTCTCCTTGGAGAAATGCTATCTGGATGCCAGAAGAGGATCGGCACCTTCTATTTTGAAACTCTGTCTTGCGATAGGATGTTACTTGTTTATGGGATTCTGATTTCAATTTGAGTTATTTCTGACAGCGCTGCATGTAGCGTCAACATACAGGGTCACTGTGAAGAACGTCTTAATTTAATTTTCTTTTATGTGTTAATTCTGTAATTGCTTACCAACCACGTAGCTCAGTAGAGTGAGGGGCGTGAAGTACTTGCCAGGGGCGCTGGCAGGAAACGGCGTTTTGTAAGCAATTTTAGGCATTGATGGGTATACACGGAGCATTACATTCGCTCAGGTTATTTAAGACTGTGCAGTTACAAAGTAATTAGGGTAACTAAAGCATTGAGGGTTTTAGATCTATGACAACTGCACAAACATAAATGGGATATTGTAAGGTTAAGAAATGTTTGCATGATTATGTGAAATCTTTTGCTTCTGAAATACATCAGTGTATCAAAAGAAGTTTCTGGCTGGGTTTGCAGCCCAGGTGATGCTCCTTGGTTATTCTGTGCTTCGGGATAATGGTACTTAAACCTTTCCTCAGTTACCTCCCACCGATTATTCTTAGAGGCAAGTTGGGATGAGGGGGCTGGCAGGGAGATGGCTTGAAAAAGTGCTAGCCGAGAGAAAAAATGAAATTATGTTCAACCAGTGAGAGAGAGGTGGGGCTGAGAGGTATTGCAACATCAGGCCCAGTTCCACTACCTGCCCTGCATAACTTACACTGTCTTGAGTACTGGTTTCGCCACCTGTGAGCTGATGATGAGGATAACCACAGCACCACTCATGATGATACACAGCGGGTATAGTTAGCAAAGCGTTGTCATCCACGGGGCGCTGCATCTAGCATGCAGCGTGGTGTTTCCCTCATCCCACCCTTACACCTTAGTCTCCACGGAGTCTTCATGAGAGAGCGCCTTGACGCGCCCTCGCCTACCTGCCTTGGCTCTGAGGAGCTAGGGGCCAGGCACAAGACAACAGGTAAAAGATGGTGAGGGATCAGCCTCCCGGCAGGCAGAACAACATGGCAGGTGATCCTTTCCAGACAGAGTTAGCAGGAGGCGGCGCTGACTCTACATGGAAAATGGAAACAGTGAAATGCTTAGTAGTTACTATTTTTTTAAAGTGTCTGCCACCCAGACTGCTTCTGCACACAGCACCATGTGAGAACTGCTGCTCCAGGACAGGACTATTTTAGGTTGTTTTTAATTAAACGAAAGCATTCCTTCCAGACCTGGTGTACCTTTGCCCACAGATAGTGTGTTGAATCACTTTGAATGTTGCTGCTCTAGAACATTCTAGGACGAGGGAAAGCAACTGCTTCCCAGATCATTTGCCTTGGTTCTAAAATATGCTGGTTTGCAGAGGAAAACAACGGTCGTTTGTGTCATTTCTTCCAGAACATAATTGCCGAACATGAAATTCGTAATATCTCCTGTGCTGCCCAGGACCCAGAAGACCTCTCAACATTCGCTTATATCACAAAAGATTTGAAGTCCAATCACCACTACTGTCACGTGTTTACTGCCTTCGATGTGGTGAGTAGCTACCCTCTTTGGACAAACTAAATATTTCCCTGAATATACCTGGACGTTATTGAAAGCCCAGCTTGCAATTTAGGTGCTTGGCTTGTTTACCAAGTTTTAAGGTATACCTGGCGTAAGGTATTTTGCAGACTCAGCTTTTCTGAGTTTTTTCTGTATTTTCGTTCATTCATTAAATTTAGAACTCCACTTCTATCCAGTATCTGAAATGTCATTGCTCAGTTACTAACCTCACTTTTCATATCAGACGAGTTCCTTTCTTTCTCTGGTACCAAAATATAGTAAATGTCTTCCAGCCTTTCTGTTCCTTTGCTATGTCTGCTGGTTTCTTTGGTAGCCATTTCTAAGTAGTAGGGCATGATAGTCTAGGTTTGTTTGGAGGAAAAATAAATTCAGTGCTTCATACAATATTTGTGGTTTTCTATATTGAATAGTAGTTAAATTAGACATTTATAAATAATAATTGGGAACAGCAAGGTTTGGTTCATTTGAATATGGCCCGTATTCAGAAGTTAGTCTTGTAATGACGTCCTTATGGTGTTACACACCTATAGTCCTGTTTGTCATTAAGTCTAAAAACTAGCCCATATATTGCAAACTTGGAAAATGGAAGCAATTCTAGAAAATAACAAGTATTCCTTCTTGTACCTTCAGGATGGTACAAATTGCTCGAGGATAACTCTATTTTAGTACATTGGGCATTCTAAATTTGAAGCAGACAGAACAGAGACAGGTACAACCATGAAATAATTTGTAATCAGAAGAATTCTAAAATGTCACTTTAATATGACAGTTCTGCTCTGCTCAAGTTTTGAAATACACATGTTTAAAGAATTACACAGAAATTGCAGTATAATAGATTCTCGAGAGGCCAGCCCGCAGTTCAATGTCATGGGTAAGACTGCTTGAAGCAATCATTTTTAGTTCTGACAAACTCCCATGGACCAAGGACCACAGTAACCCAGAATTTACCCCATCCTAAGGGATGTTAGGCTCATGCCCAGAACGTTGTATCAGGCTGCGTGTGGCCCATCCCTTTCAAGTTGTGAAGATTGAAAACAGGAAAGAATGCTGTGTGCCTTTAATTTTTTTTTTCTATTTTGAGAGGCATGAGGAGAATAATATACAGGTGGTCTGTGTTAACAGTAAGGACTGCAAAGCCAAACCCTCAAAGGCTGCTCTAGATAGCTCTGGATGCGTTTGTTTGCATGGGATCAACAGTGTTGATTAAAACCATGTCAGCATTTAGGTTTCTGGTGCCTTAGACATAACTTGCCATTCTTGTGAAATGCAATTGTTTCTTTTTTTAAGCATTTTTAAAAATATATTTATTTATTTGGTTGCACCAGGTCTTAGTTGTGGCAGGTGGGCTCCTTAGTTGTGGCATGCAGGCTTCTTAGTTGCAGCATGCATGTGGGATCTAGTTCCCTGACCAGGGATCAAACTTGGGCCCCCTGCATTGCGAGCTCGGAGTCCCAACCACTGCACCACCAGGGAAGTCCCGCAATTGTTTCTTAAAACAGCGAAATTCCATTCTATCCACATACATTTTGGTTTGCATGATACACCTTTCTCTGGGATTTGCCTTGGTGTCATAGAAAGAACAGGCTGCTCAGAGTTCACATCCCAACTCGCTGCCTGCTCCCTGGTCTTAGACGAGTTGCAGGACTTTTCTGAGTCCTGATTTCCTTTGTCTATAAAACAGGCACAGGGATTGTACCTTACAGGTTTTCTTTGGGATTGGAATGAAGGAACGTATGTAGAGCGTTCATAAATAATGCATGTTCAGGGTTTGCTTCCCCCGCACCACCTCTTCTCTCTCCTTGCCTGCTGACCTCACAGTTCACAGCCTGGACTTTTTCTGCTAAAAGACATAAGATAGATTTTCTAGTACTTATGGTCCGAAGTTTTCCCACTGCCCTTGTGAAAGAATTGAAAAAAATAGAAGAAAAAATAAATAAAGTAGAAACAATAGAAAGAAAGCATAGATTCTGTAGGCCTTCTATTGGTATATTGCATCTATATTGTGTTTTCATTGAATGTCAACATTAGTATTCCAGTATTGTCAGGATGAATTCCACCCTGCCCTTGGGTATTGCAGCATTTCTTTCTAAATTGGTTTTAGAGTAATATATAATTTGCCTTCATAAGGGTATCCAAAACATTGTTCTCTATTGAAGCTAAAAATGATGCCCATGGGCCATCTGGCCTCTTGAGTTTTTCAAGCGTGTGTATATGCGACGCCAGAATACAGAAGTGAAATGTGGGGGGAAAATAGTCAACTGTTTAGTTTTAAGATCAACATGATGTTCCTGATACATTTGGAAAACAAGCGGAGAATTGCTTCACCTTTTGTTCTTTCATCCAGATGTTTGATTTAACGTAGACATTCACTAGGTTAGGAGTCCGGTTTCAGCTCCAGAGGATTTTCATCTTACATCACAAATCCACCATTTTAATCCTCTCTAGGTGAACAGTTTGTTTAACTTCAAAAATAGTAACAAAGGCCACCAGCCTTAACGTGGGCCTTCAAGCAATTTTGAGATGCACCAAGCTTTGCTTGCACTAAAAAAAAACCTCTTTGAGCGTGGATTTTGTATCTTTATGTAGGGCAGTTCAATATTCAGTCCAGTCTCGAAGCCTTAAAATTCTTTTGGTATGAACCAGTCCCCCAGGCTGCCCAAATGGCAAAAGAAAAGAATACCTTAAGTATCCATTTAGTCTTTCAGCTGATGTGTATGAGTACATGCACATTTTTAATTGCAGTTATTGCTACTTTGACCTTGTAGATCTTTTATGGGTCACAGGAAGTTTTTATGAATATTTCTTACCACCAAGAAAACCCAATGATGTCTAGAAGGCTTCCAGTTTACGGAGAGTTGGATTTGAAATTCAGAGAATTTTCCCATAGAAATCCTGCGGTCGTGGAAGGGAGGCCCAAGCCCCCCTACTAATATGAGCATGTGAATTTAACATAGTTCCTTGACTCTCGGACCTTGCGGAGCCCTTCATAGGCTCAGACACCGGGAGAGGGTGGAGTGAACCTGGTTTCCCAAGTTCATTTGGCCGTGGTAGCCTCTTTTGGGGAGAGCTTCTCACGGAGGTGGTGTTCTGCAGAACACACTTCGGGAAATGTTACGCTTTATCTTCTCTAAGCTTGTTTCCATGACTTAGAATCTATGCTAAATTCAGCTTGTGATATTTTCAGTTTTTAATGACAGGTAGATGAAAATTTTAAAAGACTAGAGCAGAAAGGGAATTAGGGTTCCCAAGAAAAGCCAGTATGTACCTACCGGCGCGCTCCAGACCTACTCTGCATTCTAGACTCACTATGGTGGCAGCTGATTTCTAGTCACCTCCCCAGTGGGACACATCTCATCCACTACAGAACAAGAGGCTGCCCGACCTCCACCTTCCAGGCAGTGAAAACTTGGGGGAAGAGAGTAGGACCGTGTAGGAAAAAAGAATGTGTTACAAGACCAGGAGTTGTCAGGCTTAAAACAACGGATTCAGCTTTTCTCTTCTCCACTCTTATCTCAAATGAATGAAGGGGAAATCCATGCTGCTGAGATGACAAGAGGGAGAATGAGTATTTCAGCGGCCACCAGATCCCAAGGCTGCAGTGATCATCCTTAAAAGGCCACCGTAGGAAAGAGATCGATACAACCTAGATCATTTGGCAACTCTCATCTTCTATGTATTATTCACTCCGTCTAGATTTCTAGGACATAGAATGGAGATAGGTAGATTAGAAAGATTTTGATGCATTCTCTGCGAGACTGTCAGATTTATTTTAAAAATCTGGGAGGGACCTCATTCCCTAGTTCTAAAATACGAAAGGTTTATTTTGTTTAAATAGCATTAAAAGCCATGACTGCCGCTAAACCCTGGCTAATTCTCACTTCTCTATAAAGAACATGTTTGCAGTCTTTGATAATTTTAACCATGCTCATTTTTCTCTTACTTGCACCTCCCAAATCCTGTCATCTTCAGTGTGTACGGCTTAGACTGGTTGTGGAATGTGTAGAGAATGTCAAAGTCTTGATGCCGGTGGGCGGTGCGTGGGGGAGACGAGGCTCCCTCTTTCCTGTGCCTTCTTGCCTGAATGTGGGCCGTGAAAGGATCTAAACTGGAGAAACAGAGATGACAAAATGCAGGAAACCATGGTCCGCAGGGGGACAGCATTTTATAGTCGTTTCCATCGCTAGGGACCAGCAAACCTAAGCGCAGGGGAAGAACACCAGAGTCGACCACTCTGTCATAATCAGTCTAATGAAAGTGAGATTCCGGAGCCCTTTAATTTTCTCCCGTTTTATTGAGATAAAATTGACATATAACACTGTATTCATTTTAGATGTACAGCATAAGGATTTGATATATGTATTGCTGCAAAATGATCAGCACAATAAGTTAGCATCCATCACCTCACACAGTTACACATTTTGTGTGTGTGTGTGATAAGAACTTTAAGATCTACTCCGTCAGCAACTTTCAAATGTACAATACAGGCATACCTGAAAGATACTGCAGGTTCTGTTCCAGACTACTGCAATGAATCGAATATCACAATAAAGCAAGTCACATGAATTTTTTGGTTTCCCAGTGCATATAAAAAGTATGTGTACACTGCACTGTAGCCTGTTATGTGTGCAATACCATCATGTCTAAAAAAACAATGTACATGCCTTAATTTAAAAATGCTTTTTTGCTAAAAAATGCTAACCATCATCTGAGCCTTCAGCGAGGCATAATCTTTTTGTAATGGTAACATCAAAGGTCTGATCACAGTTCACCATAAGGAATATAATCATAATGAAAAAGTTTGAAATCTTGCCAGAATTACCAAAATGGGACACAGAAACACAAAATGAGTAAATGCTGTCAGAAAGCTGGAGCCAGTAGACTTGCTCAATGCAGGGGGCCACAAGCCTTCAATTTTTTAAAATAGCAATATCTTCAAAGTGCAATAAAACGAGGTACGCCTGTACGGTACT